TCCTGCCCTGCCAGTACTTTTTTTTTTTTTTAATTTATTTTATTTTTGGCTGTGTTGGGTCTTTGTTACTGAGCGTGGGCTTTCTCTAGTTGTGGTGAGCGGGGGCTACTTTTCGCTGCAGTGCGCGGGCCTCTCACTGTTGTGGCCTCTCTTGTTGTGGAGCATGGGCTCTAGGTGCACAGGCTTCAGTAGTTGTGGCTTGCAGGTTCTTGAGCACGGGCTCAGTAGTGGTGCCACACGGGCTCAGTAGTTGTGGCGCATGGGCTTAGTTGCTCCGTGGCATGTGGGATCTTCCCAGATCAGGGCTCGAACCCGTGTCCCCTGCATTGGCAGGCAGATTCTTAACCACTGCACCACCAGGGAAGTCCCGTCCACCACATTTCTAAAGGCCTATTTACAGCAGTTACTTTTGCCCAATACATCATGGCCTATTTACAGCAGTTACTTTTGCCCAGTATATCATGCGCAGCTATCAAAAAAAATTATGAGTCACGCTAAAAGTCAAAGAGCACAATTTGAAGAGACAGAGCAAGCATCAAAACCTGACATGTCAGGGATGCTGGAATTATCAGATCAGGGATTTTAAATGACACTGATTAATATGCTAAGGGCTTTAATGAACAAAGTAGACAGCATGTAAAAACAGAGGGGGAATGTAAGCACATCGAAGGAAATCCTAATTAAGAACCAAAAAAAATGCTACAGATCAAATAACACTGAAGAATGCCTCTGGTGGACTTATCAGTAGACTGGACACGGCTAAAGAAAGAATCTCTGAGTTTGAGAATATATCAATAGAAACCTTCAAAACTGAAAGCAAAGAGGACAAAGACTGAAAAGAACAGAATATCCAAGGACCATAGAACTATAAAAGGTGTAATATACAAGTAATGCGAATTTTAAAAGGAGAAAAACAGAAGAAATACATGAAACAATAATGACTAAGAATTTCCCAAAATTAATGTCAAACACCAAACCACAGATCCAGAAAGCCAAGAGAACACCAAGCATGATACATGCCCACTACCCCCACCCCTGTCCCCCAGCAAAAAAACCAAACAACCACACCTAGGCATACCATTTAAAAACTACAGAAAATTGAAGATAAAGAAAAAATCCAGAAAGAAGACAAAGGTCAAAACAAAACAAAACATCTTACCTATACAGGAACAAAGACAAGAATTACATATGATTTCTCCTCAGAAATCACATAAGAGAGTGGAAAGATTTAAAGTGTTCAGAGAAAAACCTCACCAATCTTGAATTCCACACCCTGTGAAATTATCCTTCAAAACTGAAAGAGAAATAAAGAATTTCTCAAAGAAACAAAAATTGAGGGAATCTGTTGCCAGTAGACCTATCTTATAAGAAATGTTAAAATAACTTCTGTAGAGAGAAGGAAAATGAGATAGGTCAGAAACTCAGATCTAAATATAGAAAGGAGGAATACTGCAGGAGGAATAAAAGAAGGTAAAGTTAAAACTTTTAGTTATCTAACCAATCTAACAGGTAACATTGTGTTCAGAATAATAGTAGTAATAATGTGTTCAGTTATGCTTAAGTACATAGCTTACACACATATACATATGCATATATACATATAAATGCTTATTTTTATATATGTATAAAATATATATTCCCATTATATATGCACTTATACAGTGAAACAAATGTCAGCAATGATATGAAGAACGGGAGGACAGAATTAAGATTATTTTGTTATAAGGTCTCACGTTACCAGTGAAGTGATACAGTGTTATTTGAAGGCAGACTTAGATTAGTTGCCTTTTGGCACATTATCATTTACAATAGCACTCCTACAAAATGAAATACTTAGGTATAAATCTAAGAAAATATGTACAAGATTTTTTTTTTTTTTTTTGTGGTACGCGGGCCTCTCACTGTTGTGGCCTCTCCCGTTGCGGAGCACAGGCTCCGGACGCGCAGGCTCAGTGGCCATGGCTCACGGGCCTAGCCGCTCCGCGGCATGTGGGATCTTCCCGTACCGGGGCATGAACCTGTGTCCCCTGCATCGGCAGGCGGACTCTCAACCACTGCGCCACCAGGGAAGCCCATATGTACAAGATTTATATGAGGAACTCCACAAAGCTCTGATGAATGAAATCAAAGAACAAAATAAATGGACAGAGATTTTATGTTCATGGATAAGAAGACTCAGTACTGTCAAGATGTCAGTTCTTCCCACTTTGATCTATAGATTCAATGCAATAGCAATCAAAATCTCAGCAAATCATTTTGTGGATATCCAAAACTGATTAAGTTTATATGGAGAGGCAAAAGACCCAGAACAGCCAACACAATATTGAAGAAGAACAAAGTGGGAGGACTGACGCTAACCCAACCTCAAGACTTACAATAAAGTTACAGTAATGAAGACAGTGTGATGTTGGTGAAAGATCAATGGAACAGAATTGAAAGCCCAGAAACAGACCCACACAATACAGTCAACTGATCTTTGACAAAGGTATAAAAGCAATACAATAGCTAGCAAAGCTAGTCTTTTTAACAAACGGTGCTAGAACAACAGGACATCCACATATAAAAAAAATTACCTAGACAGACCTTATACCCTTCACAAAAATTTACTCAAAATGGATCACAGATCTAAATGTAAAACACAAAACCATAAAATTCCTAGAAGATATTATAGGAGAAAACCTAGATGAGCATGCGTATGTGATAACTTTCTAGATACAACACCAAAGGCATAATCCATGAAAGAAATGATTCATAAGCTGGACTTCATAAAAGTTAAAAACTTCTGCTCTGCCAAAGGATGAGAAGACAAGCCACACAGTAGGAGAAAATATTTGCAAAAGACATATCTGATAAAGGACAGTTATCCAAAATACACAAATATCTCTTAAAATTAGAAAGTAAGAAAACAAAAACGACCCAATTTTAAAATGAGCCAAATACCTTAACAGACACCTCACCAAAGACAAGAACAAAGACCTTAGAACACATCTCACCAAAGACAATATACACACAGCAAACAGACATATGAAAAGACGCTCCACAGAATACATCATCAGAGAAATGCAAATTAAAACAAGATACCACTACACACCTATTAAAATGGTCAAGGGACTTCCCTGGTGGTGTAATGGTGAAGAATCCACCTGCCAATGCAGGGGACACAGGTTCGAGCCCTGGTCTGGGAAGATCCCACATGCCGCAGAGCAACTAAGCCCGTGAGCCACAACTACTGAGCCTGCACTCTAGAGCCCACATGCCACAACTACTGAGCCTGAGTGTCACAGCGACTGAAGTCCGCGGGCCTAGAGCCAATGCTCCACAACAGGAGAAGCCACCGCAACGAGAAGGCTGCACACCACAACGAAGAGTAACCCACGCACCGCAACAAAGAGTAGCCCTTGCTCGCTGCAACTAGAGAAAGCCCACACGCAGCAACGAAGATGCAAAGCAGCCAAAAATAAATAAATATAAATGAAAGAAAGAAAGGAAGGAAGGGAGGGAGGGAGGGAGGGAGGAAGGTCAAAACGTGGAACACTGACAACACCAAATGCTAGCAAGGATGCGGAGCAGCAGGAACTCTCATTTAATGCTGGTGGGGATGCAAAATGATATCACCATTTTGAAGACAGTTTGGTGGGTTCTTAAAAAACTAAATATACCTTCACCATAGGATCCATCAATCACAGTTCTCGCTATTTACCCAAAGGTGCTGAAAACTTATGTCCACATAAAAACATGCACATGGATGTTTACAGCAGCTTTATTCATAATTGCCAAAACTTGGAAGCAACCAAGATGTTCTTCAGTAGGTAAATGGATAAACGATGGTAAATCTAGACAGTAAAATATTATTCGGCACTAAAAAGAAACATGGTATCAAGCCATGAAATGAGAAACAAATGCATATTACTAAGTGAAAGAAGCCAATCTAAAAAGGTTACATACTCTATGATTCCAGCTATATAACATTCTGGAAAACACAAATGGAGACAGTAATAAAGATCAGTGGTTGGTGAGGGGGCAAGGATGAATAGAGAGGACTCTTAGGGCAACAAAAAAATTTTGTATGATACTATGATGGATACATGTCATTATACATTTGTCCAAACCCATGGAATGTACAACACCAAGAGTGAACTCTAATGTCAATTATGGACTTTGGGTGATTATGATGTGTCAGTGTAGATGCATTAACTGTAACAAATGTACCATTCTGGTGAGAATATTGAGAATGAGGGAGGGTATGCTCGTGTGGGGGGAGGGGGTATATGGGAAATCTCTATACTTACCTCTCAATTTTGCTGTGAACCTAAAACTGCTCAAAAAAACAAGTCTTAAAAAAACAATAACTATTTATAGGTGTAACCATATTCCAGAGACTGTGCCAAGCAATTTAAATGCATTAAAAAAAAGAATTAAGCTTATGAACTAATTTAGAAATGAAATGACATACATATTTAAAATATTGAGTCTTTTCATTCAGGAACAAGGTAAATGTCTTCATGGATCTAAGTCTTTTTTAGGTCCTAAGCAAAGCGTTATACTGACCTTCCTGTGGGCCTTGCATGAAAAATTCTATTTTAGGATTTCCTTATAGCACCCACATGAAGTACATACTGCAATAAGCACCATTTTATAGATGAAGAAACAGAGACTCAGGCAGATAAAATGATTTGCTGAAACCATGGACACGATGAATGGCTGAGCCAAGATGAAAACCAAAATCTAGTCATCTCTGGCATCTGGCATCTGTATTTAACTACAAAGCTACACAACACTGTTCCAGAAAATGCTGAGTCCAAGTGTAGGGTGATGACCATGACAACAAGGACGACGATGATGTCACTAACAGTAGTGACAGCAGCAGGAGTCACAATTGCTAACCCTGCACACAGCCAGGCATCACCACGCACTGTTCTGAGCCATTCACCCTCACTACAGACGTGTGAAGCAGGTACTGTATTACTTCATGAGATACTACCTATGAGATAACTGACATACAGAAGCGTTCAGTAACCTGCCCAGGAACACACAGCTCATAAGCAGCACAGCAGGGATTAGACACCAGGGGTCTAGCACCAAACCCTGGTCTCCCAAGTGCTACACGAAGAAGGAAACAGCAAACACTTCCCCGTGGGAGTGAGCAGCCTCAGACCAAGTGGGCTGTGGTGGTGAGAGGGGGACATGAGCAGAGAAGTCAATCCTCAGGAAACAGGGCCAGAGGAAGGAGCAGACGTGGAGACGCCAGAATCCAGCATTTCATGAACTACTAAAAATAAAAACTTGGGTTTGGAATCTCACACAGTGATTTGGTCAAATAGAGACATTTGCACGAACATCATATATCATTTATTCTAATCAACATTTCACAAAAGGACAGACAAAAAATGCAAAGCAGAGCTGTTGACAACCAAGATGTGCCTTTTAAGTTGAATGGATTAAGCTTTAGGAAGGACTCACAACAATGGCCCTATTTTCCTTACTTGCTGAGTACAGCGTGCTAGGAGAATTAAATGAGTACAGCATGAACAGAGAAACAAGATAAACATACAGCAAGAAACAGAGATGAGGAGTGAGTGGGCCTCAGAGAGCAAGGACTTGGTGACTACCTCCTTCTGCAAAATAGCTGCAGCAGAAAAAACCACTGTGAAAACAAAGTGACACGAGCAGGCCCACGAGAGAAGGCAGAACAAGAGACCCAGAAGCCAGGGCATAATCATGCTTCTCTAAGTCGCTATATCAGTCCCTCAAGGAGCTCAGCAGGA